ACCCCAAGCTTCTCTCTCCCTGCCTGTGTGTCTCATGGATAGCAAGCAAGGGTATGTGAAAAGACAAATTCCTAATGCAAGAAATAAAGTGATCTTATCTTACACTCCCACATACAAGTGGAATAAAATGTAATTACATTGTACACCACTAGGAAGCATGGTTATACAACTGTTCTTCATGGCAAAGATGGAATATACTATATTAGCATTAAAGAATTTCTCACTTGTTTTGACAGTGATCAAAGGTGCAGGTGGGGCTGTGCTTGGCTGTCGACGTACCTTCCAGCTTTAGGTGGATGACGAGCACCAGACATAGAGTTATAGGACTAGAGTAACTTTAATGTTACTAGAAAACAATGTGGCTGAGAGAATGCTCAGATTAGAGTGAACTAATAAGTGAAGTTCCATGGGGTCTGTACTAAGATCACTACTTTTCCTAATTCATATCACTGATCTTCATTCTGGTACTGTTTGTAAACTAATCACGTTTGCAGGTGATGTCAAAACTAGGAGGATTAGCAAACACTGTAAAAGCAGCAAATTCAAAAAAGATTTTTAAAAATTGGGATTGGACAAACCCCTGGCTGATGACATTTAATGTGTATACTGTGTAGGTTAATATATATAGTTAAAATAAAAAAAATAAATAAATCAAGGGATATTATCTTGTATGATGAACTAGCAAGGCCTATTTAGAATATTCTGGACAGCACATTAGGAAAAAGATTCCGCTGCCCTAGGATCAGTCCAGAGAAGAGCAACTGGATACATTCTGGGGCTTAAGGACATATATAGTATATCAAATACTATAAAAGACAGCCAGGAGGAAATAAACCTTTTTAGTCTTGAACAGAAAAGACTACAAGAGGACCTGATACAAGTTTTCTAATTTCTCAAAAGCATTGATGAAGTCAACCCAGCACAATCTTCAGGATGAACAGTGAAACACGACCCTGAGGACAAGTGGAAGAAGAAGACGCTACTTAAGGATCTGTCCACCTAAAGATTGAAAGCCTGTCGACAACCCAGCACAGCCCCATCTGCACCTTTGATCTTTGTCATAACTGCATTGACTTCATGAAACTATATGAAACTGCCTGCAAAACCGAGCACATGAAACACTTTACACAAAGTGTCGTGGGAGTCTGGAACAAGCAATGCAGCCATGTCTTTAAAGATGATATCCTGGTTACTTTAAAGAACTAACTGCATGATATCCTTTGATCAAATAGCTACTAACTACTAATCAGGCTAGACTGAACAAACACCAAACTGAAAATAGTTTACGATTTTATTTTTAAAGACCTAATTTAAGATCTTTTTCTCATGTGAGGCGCCTAAAATAATTTCCAGGCTTCCTGTTCTGGCTTCAGACAAAGATGTGAGACAGAGCATTAAAATGAGACTTTTCGGTTTAGGCATCACATAAACATCACATAAACATAAACATTACTGAGCAAACCAAAAGCGAGTGACGAATGTCATTGGTTTGTATTGGGAAAACAAATGTCCCAATACAAACAAAAAAACAAATGTCTTCAGATTGTTCTTAATTTCTAATGAAATTAAGAGCAAAGTTTGTTTTTTGAGCACTGCTCCTTGTCTCACAGATTCTGCTTTGTCTTGTGTGTGGCTCTAGGGAATTGTGTAGGGGAAAACAGATAAAAAAAGAGAACAAACTCCAATTCCATATTCTTGTAAAGAAAAGAGGCGTAAGGCAACTCTATTAGATGCACTAGAACACTTGTACGGGGACAAGCACAAATAGGCTTTCAAAGGTATTTGCACAAATTAAGCAGCAGTTAACCAACATAACACTCCAATGGCTTTCAAAATACAGGGAGACCCTGTGTTTTTAAGGAGCTACAAGTTGCTCAGCATCAGGACAAAACACAATTAGGGAGAAAACAAATCCCTCTGGAGGATGAAGCCCTGTGGCCTGTTTTGGCTCGGTGGCATTGTCCATCTATTGCTGGCATGGAGCCTTGTGTTTGCGAGCAAACCAGACTGTCGTTTGAGGGTCAAGCCCTATTGATTCTGCTGACAGGAGCCCCCCTGTCATGACATAATGCCATTCCAGTGAAATCCAGGCTAATGCCTTCTTTCTGTGGAACAGGTATATAAAGAGGGTGGAGGAGCCCAGTGGACCCACAGCAGTTCAGTTCTCCCAGCCTTCCTGCCCACTCTGAGAGCAGTACAAAGAGCAGCAGCTAGCCACAATGGATATTGCCATTCAACACCCCTGGTTCAGACGCGCCCTGGCCTCCCTCAACCCCAGCCGCCTCTTCGACCAGTTTTTCGGGGACGGTCTGTTTGAGTACGACCTTTTCCCTTATGCCGCATCTACCATCAGCCCTTACTACAGGCAGTCCCTCTTCCGCAACTTCATGGAATCTGCCAACTCCGGCATGTCTGAGGTAAATCCTTTCAAGGGTTTTGTGTTCTTTCTGTACTCCGGCGGGGAGTGTGGGGGGGGGGGGGACCATCGTGCACATTATCTTAGTCCAGTCGGGGTTTTTTTCTTCTCCGAGAAATTCTGCGAATTTGAATTTCTCTACGTAAAAGGTTGTAAAGCAAAACCAGTGGCCGGCCTACATGGCACCATGTAACCACATGAAATTGTTGACCTGTCTGAAAATACAAAACCCAGACCGCTCTTGTATGTGGCAGCCGTGTGGGTACACAACATCAGGGGTGTTTGGTAGCCGAGAAAAGATTTTAGATTGGGAACAGTCAGTGGCTGGGATTCAGTCTGTTCCATTTGCAGGATGTGGGCAGGCTGATGTTTCTTTGTTGGATTGGTTGATGCTTCATTACGTAATTAAGGCGCATAAGATTGTGACAAGAGGCATCAGTAGAATGGACTGATTCTATCTTTTGTGGGCCCAAAAAAACTATCTGACAGGATGTTGCTGAGAATTCACATGCTTGAATATCTTATTGAAACAAAAAGAGAGGCAATGATTTCCAAATCAGAATCTGAGGGTATCCACCCACCTTGCTGTATATTCCTGGTGGAATTGTTCTCCTGGAACTGTTACAGTGACTGTGCCGAGTGCAGCCCCGATCATTTTCGGCAGCTCTCCAGCTCCGCTGGGGGCGAAGGGGAAATGTACGCTAATTATGGGAAGTAGAAAGGTCACTAGACAGGGCCGTTGCTTCCTAATTCAGTGACTGAGTGCATGCTGCCCTTTAGAGGCATATATCTTGCTACAGTTATCTGTTGATCTACATTACAATCTGAACATTTCCTGTTACTTCCTCGTGGCCACGTTTACACTGGAAAAGCCAGACAGGGAGCTACAGAACGGACTCAGTTTCACACTCCCATATATACGCCCCTTAATAAGCCAGTGAAGGGTAGAGTTCCCTCTTTATAAAACAATGTTTTCATTATCCTGTCTTCTCTTTAATTCATTTTAGACCTTGGTCTGCAGTGTTTATAATGTTATGCATCAAACCTGTGGGGCTCCAGCTACATTCAGGGCTGGAAAGGAGTTTAAGACCCTAAAATGTAGTATATTGCTCCTAAAACACTGAAATCGATGGTTTCTGATCTTAATTTTCATGATTGCCAAAAAGACTGATTTTTTCCTCATGGGTCTTTCGAATATTCCACACATTGTTCCTCAGTTTGGAATGAGCATGTCCCATTATGCCACAGCAGCCCTGTCTCGATGCATACTTAACATCTGACAAATCTCTTATCACAACTCTGTCTTAAAAAAAATAAAAATATTGTTTCATCAACTTAGGGAAACCCGGAACATAGGACGACCCTTTGCCAACAGAACACGCCTCTCAGTTTTCTTTGATCTGGAATTTATTAAAACAATCAAAGTAACATTGTTTAACAACAAAAAAACACAGGAAGTGTGCAGAGCTCACATTTTCTAAGAATAAGAGAGAAAAAAATGGTTCAGTGCATAGTGTTAATGTTTGTCAAGACACGTTTAAACAGTACTAGGGGATGTTAATTGTTTTCCTTCTTTAGCAGTTGAAAGGGTCTGTCTTCAGGATACAGGCAGTGACAAATGTATAAACTATTCCTTTGCCTTTCAACAGGTGCGCTCTGACAGGGACAAGTTCACAATTTATCTGGATGTGAAACACTTTTCCCCTGATGACCTAAATGTGAAGATCATTGATGACTACGTGGAAATCCAAGGCAAGCATGGAGAAAGACAGGTACGGCCATCCTGACTCGTGACTTTGTTTCCATCCCAAGCCACAGACTCCTCTTTCAAGTGTGCTATTGTTGGATTGAGGCCAATTTCTGAATCTCTTCAATGTTTGAAAGAACATGGCCAACAAGATGGAATTGTTTAACATTCCGTTTGAGGCAGACTGTGTGATAAACCAAGGTGATTTGATCATACTCTGCCCAGGCACAGGAAAGCCTTACAATAAAAACCAAGAACAGGAGGCACTTCTTTACCCAAAAAGTTGTAGGAGAGTGGAACAAGTTGCCCAACCATATTGTTGAACCTGATACTGTGGCTTCTTTCAGAAAAGAGCTGGATGAGATCCTGGGATCGATCAGCTGCTAAGTACTAAACAGGCACATTGGGCTGAGTGCCTTCTTCTTGCCTGTAACTTTTCTTAAGATCCAATTTAGAAAACATCAGCTGTTAGGTCAGTCAAAATGTCAGCTTTGATAAAACTCTTTAGAGAATGACTCCTCACATTCATACAGTATGACATACAGTATTCCAAGTAAAGGAGTCAAAGCACGTATGTCAAAGAACAACGCTGTTGATTCACAGAGTCCTGATTGGAAGTTAGATGATATTATCATATTATGCTTTGTAATTCATAAGTCATGCCAATTAAGCTCTTTGAATTTAAATTAGGTGGAAAAAAAACATTACAAAAGCTAGGGAGAGAGGGGGAGTGCAAATTTTATCTTTATTTTTTCACAGAATCAGGGGTGTTTCCTATGTCTGACAGCCACTAGCTTTAGCATAATATTATAGGAAGGTATATAAATGTATTGGGACCATTTGGCACTCTATTTAATTTAGTTGCTAGAATCTCACCCAGCTGTTTAGAAGACGTGTCATACAGAATCTGCTTTGCCAACTTCAGAAAACTAGGAAAGCCACAGGCGACAGGTGGTCAATCAACCCATCATGTTCCCTCATTCTATTTCCCTACAGTCCCATTCCCAGAACAAACACCTTCAAGTATGAAATACTCTTAAACCTCTCCATCCTAGAAAGGGACAAATTAGAGCAGCCATTCAGTCATAGCTTGTTTTGGGGAGGTGGGGGAAATTGGGAATACCTGAAAAAAACACACAAACCTGGGGAGAACATGCAGATTCCACAAGACAGGCCTCTCCAGTCCTGAAATTGAACCTTGAGCCATAAAGTTGAAAATTCATAGGATTCACCTGTGCTTGTCATTCTCCGGTTTCGGTGGTATTCTTGCCCTCATGTTATGCAGGCTACTTTAGGGCTGAAAGCGCATGTAGAACAGCAAGGTAACCTGTGTGTGGTGTGAATGAGTCATCCTCTCAAGAGGCAGAGTGCTCAAGCTAAACATCACCACGACCACTTCAGAATGGCAAGCACTTCCCTTAAGTCTTTCACTCGCAGACAAATTAACCTTTGTGAAATTCCCAAAGTTGTAAATCAGTTTATGGCTGCTCAGGTCAGCTGCAAAAACTAGGGTAATAACTGCAGCCTAAAGTCACAATTGTCAGCCGCTAGAGAAAATACAGTTAGTACTGTCCAATTCTTACAGTATAAGATTACCATAAAAGGCAACAGAAGTTTTAAAATTTAAGCTGGGATAGTTTGTTGATTGTTTCTTTCTTTCACTGCCAAAACATTACAAATCAAAGACAGCTCACTTCAGATCCCCCAAAGAAGTTTATTTTAACCAGCCAACAGAATCTCACAAAGCCTTTAACAAATAACACTTCACAAGAATCACAAGGGAGGGACGAGTCGCTAAGACTTTCTTCCTTTCTGTCATTTTAAGCCCTTTTGCGTCACAAGATCTCCCAGAGGGCTTCCTTCTGGAATACTGACGTTTCTGTGTCACCTCTCAGGTTCCATAAATGCCAACAAGCACGTACTATCACACGGCTGATATTCTGAGAGAAACGATTGCAGCTGGTACATTGTAATGGAGCTCACTAACATTTCTAGGTTTCTGAATTGTCCTCGAACACAAAGGAGTTTTTAATATTTAGGTTGATCTTTTTACAGCTTTCTGTTTTTAGGGTTTAAAATTAAATGCTAAATGTTGAGGGGAGGTATGCAGTGTTTGATCCTTGATTCAATTTCAGACTGGAGCACCCTCTGTGTGGAGTTTGTATGTTTTTTTCAGTTCAGTGTGGAATTTCTCCAAACATTCTTGTTTTCCTCCATCTTCCAAAAACATAATAACTAAGTTAATTGGTGTCTCTCAATCAAAGGTCTTTTAGGCCACCTATAAGTTACTGATGAATGAACAAAGTATCTGTTCCATTAAAAGAAGGTCTTTGAGGGCAGAAAAGTCCTATGATGCCCAACTCAACATCTCTAAATTACTGAATTTAACAAATCACCTGCTTATTGGATCACAAAAAACATCCAAATCCAAGGCTGGAGATGTTTTTATGACCTAAAAAAAAACTGATTTTCTCTTTCCAAGAGCAGGGCTGGGAGTACCTGCTCCTTATTATCTCTGTGTCTGTACATGCCATGTGATGGACTGGTCCTGTCCAGGGTGCAGTCCTTTCTTGTGCCCTGTGATGGACTGCTGTCCTGTCCAGGGTGCAGTCCTGTCTTATGTCCTGTGATGGACTGGTGTTGCATCCAGGGTGCAGTCTTTCTGGTGTCCTGTGATGGACTGGTGTCCTGTCCAGGGAGTTGTTCCTCTTGCAGGACTTTCTGCTGATGAGTTAATTGACCTACAATAACAATCCTAAATAGATTGTGGGCTAATACTTGGTTATCAGTAGCTTTTATTGCATATAAAATCTGTTGCAGAGACAGCTGTTTCAATGCTTTGCACATGAAAAGCCACTGTGGTAATGTCCCCAACCTGATCCCATTGTGCCTTTTGCACTAGTGTGACTTCTCTCAACCTGTTCTCACAGAGCTTGAGCTCATCCCTCCACCCACGTGGATCTATACAGATCACAGAGAAATGAGGAGTTTCTGAATTCTAGCCAATGTACAATCCTTAGAAAGCAAATTGAATGTGATCAAAATCAAAAGTCAAGCTGTAGCTAGATATCTCCCAGCAGTCTGGATAATACCTTGAGCTCATGTTTTCTAGAGAGAAGGATAGTTTATTTCTTCCTGTGTTTAGGCTTTGTGAATGGCTGGTCTTTGAGCAAGCCAACAGTGTCTACAGTATCTTGGAAAAGTGTCACCTTTACAGAACATTATAAACATATTTTGTTCTTCATCAAGCATATGAGGCAACATGGAGTCATTTTAATGCAATCAAAGAATTTTATCATTATTGTTATTGGATCCTGTAACCAGACATTCTGCAGACCTACTGTGACCAATGCCTGTTGCTCATGGGCCCACCAGATGGCGCCAGAATTTGCTTAATGCCCCTGAAGAATTTCAAAAACAATTAAAAAAAACCGAGTGTGTAACATTGTAGTTGTAGTAACATTCCTCTGCAACTAAGAAAGCCTGAAATGAGTGGCCTGGTTTTGCCTAAGGTGTAGCGGCGATTGATTTCTTAGAATGTTATTTGAAATTCACATTTTTTACGATCTATAGCAGAAACGGTACCTATTAGCTGTGAGGGGAGAAGAAGACAAAAAAAAAGGAATAAAGAAAGGAAAACACACCCCCCACAAAATAAACCAATCAATTATCTTTTATGATTTACCTCTTTCCCTATTATATCTTTAAATAAAATACAAGCTACCCTCAATAAAGGTGAGGAAACCTCTTGTTCTAATTCCCAGGTTCTTTTATTCTGCTGGTCCCAGACTAATTCACAGGCAAGACACCAACATGACTTAATTTGACATTTTATTATATTCGAAATAAGACAATGGCACCAAAAACAACTCCAGCCGCAATAGGTGAATGGCCGTACAAAAACTCCCAGGACCACAAAATGACACGTGAAGCAATCGCTGTAAATAAGATGGTGAAGCAACCCACTCTCTCCACTTCTAAAAGGCCACTTGTTAAAGTTTCTTATAAGGCCACCCACACCAAATTCAACCCCAGTAATAAGTTACAAACTTCAGCCTGAATAGAACAGAATAAACTCACACATAAAGCACCTACAATGGGCATTAAAACTCAGTCAGGATTTCAGCCTTCTCCGTACATGAAACAAACTAAAAAGGAAGGGACCATGAAATACAGAGAACCTGAGCTGGGAGGCATGGAAGTTCCAGACACTATCGCTATAAAAAACTCCAGACCATCTGCTGTAACACTTGATCAAACCAAGCAGGAGGAAAAAAAAAAACCTCAACAATACGTTACTGATGCCCGTCTTTCTCGGCACTCATCCAGTACACCCTCCCATCTCAAGTTCCCAGCACAACAAAAGATTGCAAAACACAGGTCCGCTCTGCCCCACTCAGTCCACTCCAGCTTTAAAATCAGCCATCGCCACATAAGAAAAGCAAGCAATAGTAAAAACCCAATTGATCCTGTGGCCACTCAGATCCAGAGAAAGATCAGCTGCTCAATTAAAATTTCTTCCCCCTTACCATACCTATACCATATGTTTTATTCTGATTATCGGATTATCTTTCATCCTTAAAAAAAATAATATTGGGGCATTCTTCTATAGCTCAAGGAGTCTTTTTCCACTCCTTCCATTTTCTTTTCCTGGATTCCAAATCCACTAAAGGCGCTGAATTGATTTCCCATCCAGAGTGTAACCCTGCCTTGCGTCCTGTGCTTCCGGGGCTTGGATCCGGCTTTCTGGTAATGGAGAGTGGGATATGTCCACTAAGACAAGTTCGTCTCTTGTCTGCCCTCACAGGACGACCACGGCTACATTTCCCGCGAGTTTCACCGCCGCTACCGGCTGCCCTCCAACATGGACCAGTCTGGCATCACCTGCTCGCTGTCCGCCGATGGGATCCTGACCTTCTGCGGGCCCAAAATCTCCTCGGGGGCAGACTCCAGCCGCGGCGATCGCAACATCCCCGTGACCCGAGAGGAGAAGCCCACCTCCGCCGCTCCCTCTTAGGCGCGCGGGGAGATGTCTGGGGGGACGGGGTTTGGGGTTCGAGGGTCCGGAGGTGTGGTGGGGTGGGGTGACGGTCCACTGCTATCCCAATTCCCCCCTCCTTGCTTCAACCCCCTTTCCTCTCTTACCCGACAGCCATGGCGTAGGCGTCGGTGCATAGCTAGTTACTCTTTCTGTAGAAGTTACTATTGCAGTGAGGGTGGGTGGGTGGGGAACGAACGAGGGGAGCAAGCTGAGGCAGAACAGCAAAGAGATGCAAAGAAAGCCGCGTGAGGCCACTATCAATACGTGTGCGTGAACTGGCCTGGCCCATTTTACATTTAACCCACAAAGAAAAAGACGCCTGAGACGTTATCCTTAATTACAAGGAAAGGGGATACAGCGACGTTTCAGAGCAAATGCACCGGTTACACGGACTGATTCCTGACTGGCTGGGCATGCGATGAAACGTCTGAGGCCTAAGCGCGAGCCTGATGAAGCGCATATTGATGGAAGTCTGAGGGTGCTTACAAAAGACAGATTCCGTCAATGGGATACGCTCCTGCAAACTCTCCCACTCATGGGCTTTCCACTCCTCTGTTGATCATTTTTTCTTTCCTGTGCTGTAGCTTTCACCCTGTTATAATGATATCTGGCACATCTTTGGAGAAGTCTGATCAACAAAGAAATAAAGTTGTAAAATGAAATAGTTGTTTTTTTTTGTCTTGAACACACTTTGCGGAAGTCAGTACTGATAAAGCAGTTCAATTCTGTGGCCAATCATTCCCTTGAGAAGTGAAATGTGCTTTATAAACATTTTTTATACTAACATATTAATGTTTAGATTCATAAAACCAAAATTAATTTACAAATGAATCCTTAGCTCTTAGTTGCTCCTTTCTACTTTTTCTAGGTTTAAATGATTTTACAGTTCAAACATGAAGCATAAAATAAGTTAATTGACCATGAAGGTTAATTTCACAAATATTAAACCTGAAGGTTTTTTTAATATTTAAACCTTTTAAATACTCAAATCTGAACAGTTTCAAACACAAATGAGCTAATTAAATGTTACACCTAAACACAAAAGATGAAAAATGGGTGACTGAACAGGTCTGTTGGTTTATAATGACCTCAAAAGAGAGTGTGCCTGTCTCTCACTTTCCTCTCTGCTCTTGGATTTTGTGATGCTGTAGCCAACAGCTCATGCAATTCAGCCAGCTTCTATGCAGTACATCTCTTGTGCTGGTATGTTATGAAAGATGAAAGGCGCTATATATCACTCTCAATTCATCAGGACTGGCATCTGGAACCTTTTGGGTTTCCAACAATTCACTGTTCATTTCACACGAGATTTCAGGAACACTAAATGAGCCGGCCTGAAATCTAAGACACGGTTCTGGTAACAGGGATGTTAGTCTTACACCACAGTTACTCAACAGCTCTTATTTGCGGTGTCCTGTTTATAACATAGCTAGAACTGATTGAGTGTCCATGGGAAAGTTCAAACTGTTCCCTGTCTTCCTCTCAACAACACCAGCGAGGATCACATGGCACAACCCTCTCCCTGTGTCCCCAGCTCTGCAGCAGAGAACGGATCTCTTGGTTTAGACCTCAGCTAGTCAGCAACACTGTTTTCCTTTCAGTCTTTGACCTCTAAATTCCAGTACTAAGAATATTTCAAAGCAGCTGTTTTATCATCTAGAACAAGCTCTTCTGAATCAGAAGTCATCAGCCTGGTATTTTTGTGTCTCCTTCTATGTGATCTATACAATAAGGTTTCTCTATAATCAAGTTTTGACATTTTTTAGCTGACGGTTTAATTCATGCACCGATGATAGAAGCGAAGCCTTTTACACGATCACAGAGAGCCCCAGTCCCTCCACCAACGTAAGCCTCAGTTTGATGGCTTTTCCTCAAAAGGAGGCTAATTTGGGGCTGCAGCTGCTTATCGACAGCTCAGACTGTATGCGTCTCACTTCCTCACCGCTGCACAAAGCAGCAGCTTCTGTGACGACGGCGTGATGCCACCTGTTCTCTCCGGGAGACCGCGCCCCCTCCCTGCCTGCCACACACGGGCTGCTGGGAGGTTTGGGGCCCGAGTGCGTCACCAGGAGCTGCCTCTCTGCCGGCAGCAGCCCCATCCACAAGGTGACACACAAAGCCAAGTGATATAAATAACACAGCCAAGGTTTGTCACTAATGACTCCGACAGGGGATGGCAGACTCTGTGCTCGCTTCGGCAGCAGAACTGTTTCTGCTACATAATGCTGAGGAGACCTCCCCATGGTGACTCTAGCAAAACATCCCCACATCTGGAAAGAGATCCACGCTTTAACTTCCCCAGAGATGCAAAAAACACCAAGTGCAGTCAGGGAGAAATAGTGCCGCATTGCCTTACCTGCGTCCGAACTTCTTATTGCCTTTGTTTAAAGTACTTAGGTGTGTGGTGATAATGCAAGTTTCTTTCAATGAGTTTAGCGTTCAAAGAAATACATTTTCTTTTACATCCTGATTGAATTCTGCATTTTGATTCTGAAGGAATCTGCATTTTTGTACCTGAATGATTGATTCCACTCTGAGCATTTTAATAACTTCAGCATTGTATTAACAATGAATATGGCCTTTGACCTTACATTTAAAAAAAATACTGAAAAATATTCTTCAGTATTTTGTTCTGTAATAATAATAAACTTTATATTGCGCCTTTAAAGGTAGCTTCTCAATGCGCGTTACACTACAAAAAGTTACATAAAAATTTTATACATAAGTATATTTTGTTATACTCATCAAAATTGGCACAGCTAACTATATGGCTGCTACCAGCTACCAGCTACCGGCTACCAGCAGCCATATCAGCCTGCAACTCACAACTGGCAGCCCACTGAAGCCCAGCAGGTGTGAGCCTGGTCAGTACCTGGATGGGAGACCTCCTGGGAAAAATTACTCATTACTCTGCTCTCCTCCCCACTGATAGCTGGTGTGTGGTGAGGGTACTGGTGCACTATGGCTGCCGTCGCATCATCCAGGTGGGGCTGCACATTGGTGGTGGTGGAGGGGATCCCCATTACCTGTAAAGCGCTATATATATGTAAGCAGCTATTATTATTGCTAGAACTGTCGCTATGATCCTCCAGGCCTATCACAACGTAAAATTAGGGAGCGCCAGCAAACTCCGCCTTCCACGCAGATGCGAGCCAATCATCTCTTAAAACGTCACGGGAAACGCAGGTGCGTCATGGGGCTCAGGGCCTATCGGAGAAGAGACGCCTCCCTCCATAGCAGCATAGCGAGTCTACAAGCAGCTGGTGATCACAGGGATCGCTGTGAGCTCTGGCCAACTAAACTCATCCTACCCTCAGCAGTGCTCAGCCACTTGCGGGCCGCGTAGAAGCACGACTCAGGTTCAACCCCGTGACCGACGAGCCCCGTTACCAGTTGAGCCAATCAGCAGGCCCTACACAACCCGTTAAAAAAGTTTTCAAAACATTACGGTTAAAACTTTTTTACACTTTGCTTCAGATTTTACCTTGTGCATTCAGTTTGACTAATGCGTAAAATAAAGTGGTTTTATAACCTTTCAGTGACAATGCAGTAGCTGGAGAAGTTTTCAACTGATTAACAGTTTTCCCTTTGTGTTCTTCTTAGAAAACTATATGAAAAGGTCTTCTCTCATTTATTGATAGGGTATCCAGACTGGGCTTTCTCTGTTGCTCCATGACTGTGGGATGATCTCCCAGCTCATACAAGATCTTTCAAGTCAGTCATCATTCAAATCCAGTCTTTAATGTAAATTTTGTTACTTTAATTCTGTTGTACTCTATTTTTTGCCCTGTTTTGTCGAAAAGCACTTTGAGATGATATGTTATGTGAGAAGTTATATAAATCCTTCTAAATTCACCAGGACTGCCGTCTGGAGCCTGTTCAGCTATCCCAGCAAGCAACGAGTGCAAGGCAGGATACACCCAGGACACCAGTCCATCTCCGGGCACACCCAGACACACACATTTACTCCAGGGCATTTTCCCAGAAGCCAAATAATCTACTTGGACTGGGAGGAAACATAATGCTAACCACTGCACCACCGTGCCATCCAGAGATAACTTTTTCCTCTCTCTGCAGTTACATTTCTTTTCAGTTGTGTGTAATACTGTTATCTTTTTACTGCCACTGTTTATGTGTACTATACTCAATGTCTTCACACGTATGTTCCACGAGCTGGGTCGGGTGATAGTTTTTGGGATAGAAAGGCAGAAGGATTTTAGCTCTGTGGGTGTACCTGGGGTCAGCAAATAACCGGAACAACGGGTTTTTTTTTAATTCGGTTTCAGCACTAGCGACAACAACAACAACAACAACAACAACAACAACAACAACAACAACAACGATATCTCAGTCCTTTAAAAACATTTTGTCGACTAAGTGAAATTACGCTGGTGTTCAATCAAATAATGAACTCACTTGCACTTCGGCTGTTTTAATAAACTACCTACTGATCAGGCATTCAATCTGTGAGTAACTGGATCGTATGGCAATACACATTGCCTGTGTACTCGCACATCACAAGAAGCTTGAAGCATCAAGGTATACAAAATCGTTCCTATACCGTAGCTATTTTGGCTAAGAAAGTATCTAACACACCGTACAGACAAGTAGACTTGAACAGTAATGAATAAACTATATTGCTCATAGTGGTACACAGACTTTAAAACACGCTCATTTGCTCTTACTGTTGCGAGAGCTGCTGACCTCAATCTGTGTATAGCTATGGATGAGTCTTCATTGATTTGCCGCGTTATCTATGTCTGTTTACGCAGTCCGAATCCGTCTTGCACAATAACCCGGCGGCTTCCAATACTATGGCAGAAAAGAGCAATGAATTGAGCGAGACAGCTCTGACGTCACCTCGAGCCCCGCAGGGGGGCAGTTGCTAATGGGTTGGCATGACAGAGAGGCACGCGTACACTCCCTCCGGAAAGCGTGGACTGCAGGAAGGGTGTTTGTTCACGTCGTGTACCCGATGAAATGTGGTGATGACATGAGCAGGCAAAGCGAAAAGCGACTGCTAAATATGTGCGCCATATGTGTGAGTTAGTCTCCACTCCAGGCTGTGTGCGTATCCTGCTGGAAATGCAGAGTCACCCAGGCGTCTCGTTCTTTACTAAGCATGTGCTGTACACATTGCTGACGCTGTGTTCCAGTCCGCCACTTGCAGCGTAAACATACACCCCTGAAGTCCATGAGACGTGCAAGGACTCCGGAGTACTGACGTACCTCCGTTTCCTCTTATTTCCTTTTCGGCTTCCCAGGACAGGATGCACGTTCATACCAGCACGATTCTCGTTTGGAAGTGCTGAAAGTTGAAGAAAGGGGAGGGAGGGGAAAGATTGTTCTTTGACCAAACGCACTGGAAGTACAGTGATCTTGAAATTGTGAGAGATTAAGTTAATTATCAAAAGTGAAGTCTTCCTTAAGGACGTGTTTGTATCTTGGTTAAACTTGATGTATATATATATATTTAAGTTCGATAAATAACAAGGTACGTAAAATGAGTACAACGAATATGTCGGAAAGATCCACAGAAATGCCACAACAGAATTTCCAGTTGTAAAATGAAACACATTGCGATCGTGTTTTCCGGCAAACCCGCTCTCTGTAAATGCGGTGCGATGATGGTAGTGATTCTGAGACGATTAGAAAAAGGACC